ATGGCAGTTGGGAGATGGTTGCAAGAATGTACCATGGAGTGGGGGCTTTGGGGGGGGGGGGGGAGTTCTCAGCCACCCTGCAGCTGCCTGGAACACTGGAACATACCAAGAGGGTCAGGGCAGGGGTTCTTGAGCACCCTGCAGCTAGCTGTGCTAGACAGCAGCAGAGGGGGCAGAGCGTGCTGATACCCCACAGGCAGCCAAGGGAGACGTAATCGTTAAAAACTGTTGAGTTTCAAGAGTTGTATCAGCTGTCCTTCGGCACCTCTTCTGCCCTGATCCTGGAGGAGAGAGATGGGGAGAAGAGGGCCCGGCATCCTCTGCACAACCATACTGGGACAAAAAGGGGGTCTGCTAGAGGGCCTGTGTCTCTAGGGCCTGGTCTTGGCCTGAGAATTGGCCAGTTGTGGATGAGAAGGCTGATAAAAGATTGCAGTCCTCAGCCTGCACTCTCCGTGGCAGAGTGGGTGACTGAAGGTGAAGCCAGGCCCTCACTACAGCACGCAGAGCTGGATATCAGTCATGCCTCTAGAGGTCGTTTGGACAAATTCGATCTCTGCAGTTTGTTGAATAGCAGTCTTAGGAAGCTTAGGGACAGGGATACAGGTGTGCAGGTGGATACAGGTGTGCAGGTGGCCATCCCCCAGCAGTTGACCCCCTGCGTACCTCAAGCACCAGGAAGCGTTCATATCCTGCCACCAGGTGAAGAGGAAAGGGAGGTATTTGTTTCCCGTGCAGTGTCTAAATTAGAAAATGTGCCAAGAGAATCAACAGACTGTTGTTGAACTAAGATTTAAGCTAGTTGTGTTCCTGTTTCTGGTGGTGACTTGCTCTGCCTGTGCTAACATGGTACTGGATGGTCTCAGTTTGTTCCTTGCTAGAAATGGTGGCAAAAGAGAAGCAGTCTGCCCTGTCTCGTGTTTTTGCTGGTAGGAAGCCAGCTACCATGATGGTGTATGTTTAATGTGAGATTCTCAGTTAATAAATTGCCTTGGGCTATAAGACTATACACTGCTGTCACTGCCAAACCCGTAGAAAACAGTATGCAGTCTCCCTTTGGTGATGCACATACGTTTATTTCTGAATTTGATGTCTTCCTATTCAAACTCAATGAGCCAAAAAGGACATATTATTAAGATGTCACAGTGTGCAGTCCCTTGCTGGTTTTAAGCTGTTTAATTCTGTTCAAAGAGTGGAAGTGTTTCAGCGTTATGGTTTTTAGAAATGCACAGCTTTTGTATTAGTCACACCAGTGCAAGAACAGCCTTGCCTTTTAGATGAGTTCTTAGTGGTTCGGTGCACTCTTTGCCACACTGGAAGGTGAAATCACATGCTTCTGTCTTTTTATTTCAATCCAGTAAAGGACTTGAGTGCAGGTACGGGTGAAATTTTGATACGCTGCTTCTAAGTTCTGTTGGTTTTATTTTGTCTGTAGATACAAATGTCTGGAATGGATGTTTTTCTTGATTCCACTTATGTCATCCAACAGACTGTAAAATATAAAAATATTTGCACGTTTGCTGCAAAAAAAATCTCTACTAAATTACTGCCTTTCTAAAAGTGGTTGGTGGTTTTTTCAGATCCCTTGGAAATGGACTTGGGAAAACATAAAGTACAGTATGTTACATCATTCAGCTTCAGGTTACAGTTCTGGAAGTTGCCTTTCTTATTTTACTATTGCAGTTTCATACACATTTTCCCAGGTTATTAAGGGTACATGAAGTAAGTTTAGCCAGATCTAAATTCTTGTAATGCTTGCAATTTCTTTTATTATATTATTTGATTTTTTTACGTATTTATCCAACCAGCAGCTATGAAACACAATAATATAATTGGGCAGTAAAGGCTTTTAGTCTTGATGAAGAGACGAAATGTTTTCTAGGACCAAGAAATAAAATTACATGAACTTTTGAAGTTTAGCTCTTATCTTTGAAATGGTTGTGTTACGCTGTCATTCTCTGGAATTATTTGTGCATTTCAAAAGCAAATTTCCTTAAAGATTTTTCCCTTCATATGCAAGCTGTTGTCTGAAACCTGATGGTTGCAGTATAGCTTGTGGGTTTAGTGTTTTCTGAGTGTACCATATTAAAAAATCCTACTTGGCTATCAAGGCTGCATTTTGGTATCTAGGTGATTCTCAATTCTGCAGCTAAATTGTTAAACAGTTTCAAAATTTTAGGGCCTTGAGGCGATCTGCTCCTCTGCTCCTCTGGCAGTGTTACCCTGATGGAGTCTTGAGCTTGTGCATGAATCACTGCAGCATTAGGTCGAGGGTTCCTTGAGCCTGGATTGAGGTGGATTTGTTGGAGGAGGTCAAACTGTGAGTGCTGTTGATTGTGGCATGGGGCATATGCTCCATGCTGTTGATTCTGCTGTGGCAGCAATGACTTTCAGCAGGAGTGCAGGATGATCAGGTGGCAGCAGGGATGTTTTAATGACCAAAATGTTGGCTAGAGGACACTTCAAGGACTTCACCTGACTTGGTGGGCTTAGCAGTGAGCAGCATTATCCAGACAGCCTATTTCATCTCAGAAGTATCCTCTGAGGAATACGTGTCTGTGGTTTGGGCTTATTGGTGAGATGTTTTAGGCTATCTCATGTCACCTTCTATATGTGATTTCTTGTGTATATCCAGCTTTTATTGATCAGAAGTCTGAAAGCATGTGTGAAGAAGAAAGAAAAAAGAAAATGCTTCCGTTTTATGTAGTATCTTCTTTTCACTTAAAGTCAGTTTCCCTGTGTGGCTGAGGAATTGATATAAAGGCATCCCAATTCTGTAGCTTTTTTGTCTCTCTGACCTCACTCTTTAACTACTGCTTAAAGATAAAATAGGGAGAGTTTGTAACCTCCAGCACAGGTTTTAGTTCAGCTTTGTGCCTTGGCTCAAAAATTATTTGGATGCTTTTCTGTCTTCGCTGGGCGCAGGAGCCAGGCTGCAGGAGGTGGTTGTGATTTCCCTTTGAAGCAGTGGGACTTGGGGCCGAAGTGGTTTCCTTTCTGCATTGCTCTGGCCCCACATGAACAGCCAGCTGCCTCTGCTCCTCGGTGGGTGATGCTGGCAAACCAGAGTCAGAAACTGCAGCAAAGCCTTTCCACTGAAGCTGTTTGCTTAGGAGGTGACAGTAAAGCAGGAAGGGGGTATGAGAACAGCAGTGTGGGAATCTTTTCTTCGAGCCTCCAGCTGACATCCAGCTTGCTTTCTTTGTGGTTTGGTTCCCTGGGGCAGCTGGCAGGGCTGTGCCCCAAGGTAGCTGTTAAATTCTTTGACAGATGGTGAGAGCTGGTGTTGGCAGCACGCTGCACTTCAAAGTCAAGTATTGGCAGAATTGGTTGCAAATAATCATTGTTTGTAAAGCCACACCAACCTGTGTTGTAGTGTGATGTTATTTTTTCTGCTTTGTTCAAGCAGCCTCAGTAATGAAATGCTCCTCAACGTGTTCTGTTAGTGAGCAACAGGCAATTTCTCCGAGTGTTTGGAGGAATTTCATCGGTGCTGGGCTTTCAGCTTATAAACCTCGGAGTCCCAGCATGGCAAGTAGTGGTAGGGTTTGTTTTGGCAGGCTGTAATAACCTTGGCCTCTTTTTGTGTGGAATAGTAGTGGTAAATAAGAAGCTGTGCTGAAATTCCATGGCATGAGCTAATTAATTTGGGCAGATTCCTGTCTCCCAGCTGTCAGCATGCAGTTTCTTAACACCTTCTATAGAGCAACAGGTCACATTCATTCAGAATTTCCTTGGAGAGGTCTATTCTCAAATTAATTTTTATTCGGGTGCATAAAAATAGCTAGTGAAACAAAACTCTTCAAAACTGTAATGGCTTCACAGTAAGTCACAAATTAAAAGTAAGTGTCTTTCAACTAGTGAGTGCTCATACTTTTTTACAAGATATAGTGGGAAGACTAGGCAAAATGGATTTTGAGAACTGTTTCTGAAGGGTCTTTTGTGTTTGTTTTGTTCTCTAATGACTGCAAGTCAGTAGTTACATCTTGGTAAGTCCAGTGGCTCATTTTTCCATTCCAACTAGTATCTTACCACTATCTATCTAATGAAATTTCTTTCAGGTAAGTTATATGTTTCCAATGTGTGCCATCTTAAAGCAAGTAGTACTAGGAAACTGGTTACAAAGCAGGGCATACAGTGTTTCCAGTGTTCACTAAAAGCTATGTTTTGTGCTTGGCTTTGTTGTTTGTTTCCTAACAACTCTTATTTCTATCATTAAAATACTAGGATGTTATATATCATACCCCTTCTTTGCTCTTTTTGTTCCTGCAGGCAATTAGTCGTTACTTGCCCAGACGGGATCCAGTTTTGAAACCTCTCATCTATGAGATGGTCCTGCATGAGTTTTTGGAGAGTGACTATGAGGTACTACAGCCAGACGTGTCCACATGTAGCAGCAGTTGCAAGCAAAACACACTCAGCAGTGTAGAATTCATAGTGTTCAAACAGGTTGTCAATGAACGATTCCACGATAGCAAAAAAAGACACTTTTTGTTTGTTTACAGAAGAATAAGTAAAATGTTTTTCAGAGAACACTAATCTTTTAGGATTATTTACTTATTAGGAATACTATTATTTTTAGTCGTTTAATGTAAAACAAGTAGCCCACCTGCTTCACAAAGCAAGCAACACCTGAAAGAGACCCAGCTTCATGAATCTTGATAACGTTGCCCTGAGAAGGAAAATCTATACGCTGTGCGTGTTTGTGGGCATGTAGAAGTGGCTTAGAGGTGTAGCACAGCATGTATCATCTCAGAGGCTTAGCTGGGGCTTTGATGTTTGAAATGTTCCTTAGGCACTTATTTCTGTTTCTGTTACAATCTCTTATACTTTTAGGGGTTTGCAACCCTGATAAAAGAGTGGCCTGGAGACCTCTACAACAACACAATCATAGTTCAAGCTGTAGTAGATCACCTGAAGAAAGATCCACAAAACAGGACGTTGTTAAGAACCCTTGCAGAACTGTGAGTACAATTTAAAACTCCTATTACAGAAAGTGTGCTTGAGATAGGATACAGTAGGTTATAAATATTTGTCTAAGTCTCTTAACAGAGATCCTTGCTGTGTTGCAGTGTTGCAGTGTATGAACACTAAGAGTTTAGTATAAGACTGGATTTGCTACTTCTCTTTCCAAAACAAATAGCCTACGTTTCTCTCTGTGCTGCCTGAGGAAGTCTTTTTTGGGAAGAGGAAAATAACAGGAAGATAATCTGTTTTTCTTTTTCCCCTCTGTTTGAAAAATAGTATATTTAAGTTTACTGCATGGCTGGAAATATGTGACTAGAAAATGTGTTAAAGATGATCTGGTTCTAAAGTACTTCTTACAAGGATACAGTTCTTCAGTTTTCTCAGCCTGATGCCCACCTATATTAAGTTATCTTCATACACCCTCTTTTGAAGAAGGCAGTCTGCTGCTGCTTACTGTCTGCTGCTCTGTTACTGTCTGTCCCAAAGTTTTAAGAGAGCAATATGAGTTGGTTTTTTGTGTGTTCGTTGCTTTTTTTTTTTAATTTTATTTTGCTCTGAAGTGGTTTTCAGGTGGCTTCCAAAATTAGAAAAGCTAATGTTTCTGTGTAGCTTTAAAACAGGAGGCAGTGAAAATGCAGGAACCACAGAACATGAATACTGTGACTGTTACATAAATGGAGTTGCACAGTGCTATTCCTCATTATTAAAAAAACTGGCAACTATTCACATGTTCATAAAATCAAGTAGCATCCTAATATGTTTTGCATTCTGATGTATATTTATTTATTTTCCTCTCCGAGGTGATTTTCTTGCACTTAGGTCACATAAATTATAAGGCTGCTTTTTGGCAGGTATACGTATGACCAGCGCTATGGCAGAGCCCTAGAAATTTACCTAACTCTCAGACACAAAGACGTCTTCCAGTTGATCCACAAGCACAATCTGTTCAGTTCCATCAAAGATAAAATTGTTCTGCTCATGGATTTTGATTCAGAGGTACGGTGCTTTTAATATTCACTTTCACCTTAACAAATTATGAATAAATTAGTTTAAAGATAGCAGTGAAGCATGGAGTTGTTTTACTGCGTCTGGATACATTCTGAGACAAGGAGATGTTTGCCTGGACTGCACAGTGATTAATCCAGGGATGAAGTTTTTTTTTTATATTTCCATTTGAGTGTCACTCACAGTGAGAAGAGTGCCAGTGCTGAGATCATTTGTGCAGGTAGACTTACACCATGATGTTTCTCTGCGTTTCTCCTCAGTTCACACTGCTGAGGAGCCAGATGTAGTAAGCAGTTAATTTGGTGTGAGCAGATTTTGAATGTATTTTGCACTTTTTTTTTTCATTGTAATTAATTACTCTGTGTCTGGAAGTTTGTGTAGTCATTAACTTAAATCTCAAAAATCAAAAAGTGTGCATATGGTGCCAAATTCAATCTTCTTTCTTCCCAGTTGTCTAAAACCTCAGCAAATGAGCTTTTGTATGCGTGCTGGGAAAAGAATCTGTTTGGTACTTGGGGAAACAATCTCTATGATCCTTGGAAGAAAACAAGTAGATCATCTGTTTCTGTGCAGCTGTTGTTTCAGCACTGGAACTAAAATATGGAGCAATCTATACCAAAGATGAGTATTTGGTATAGTGTATCATTTTTTAAAAATAAATATAATGAGTTACATCAAGCATCTGATGGTGCTTTTATTGTTTTATTGAGTTTATTTGGTTTTATTGAACCAAAATTTGATTTTATAAGTGGAAGCAGAGCAGGCACCCTGGTGACTACTCTTGTTTACGTGATCTTGGCTGCTCCTGTTACAGTAGCAGTAGCAGTGTGCAGATAGGCTGGGGGAATCCAATTGTAAGGCAAGTTGAGCTGTGTGTGTTTCCTATACAGCCATCACCCTGCAGCTCACTTTTGCATTTGGACAAAAAGTATTTCTTTAGCATTTGCCTATGGCCTTCTGTGAGCCATGACTCAATGGGCATACTGTACCTGCAGTGTAAGTGCACAGAACTGATTACTTTTAGTGTGTGAACTTTGGACAGGTATTCTGGATGCGTACATTACGTGTTTGTACCTGTAATGCTCTGCTGTTGGAGAGTGCTGTTGTTATGCAAACTGCTTTCTGAATTAATGCTGCTGAGAAGAATAAGTCTGCACCATCCATCCGATACCCATCAATGAACAAGCATAGTGCTGTAATCAAGAGTGACAAAATGTGCATACCTATTTCTTACCTGGATTTTCTTTCTTTACTTTAGAAAGCAGTGGACATGCTTTTGGATAACGAAGATAAAATTTCCGTGAGTATGACAAGTTCATGTTTCAATGATCCAGTGCTGCTTGCATTTTTCATCCCCCTTTCAATCCTGTGAATGTGATGTTCACAGAGATTTGCTAATCTTTGGGTTTTTGTTTTCTTGCAGATTGACAGAGTTGTTGAAGAGCTAGAAAACAGACCTGAACTACAGCATGTGGTAAAAACTTCTGTATTCTACTAGTTTCACTTTGAGCTGGATAAGATATCTGCAGGATACATCTGTTATAGATCACCTCTCCTTCGAGGACAGGCTGAGAGAGCTGGGGCTCTCCAGCAAGGAGTCCACGAGGTGACCTGATAGTGGCCTTTTAGTATTTAAAGGGGAGCTACAGGAGACAGACTCTGTAGCAGAGTCTGTGGTGATAGAACAAGGGGAAATGGTTTCAAGCTCAAATAGGGTAGATTTAGGTTAGATACAAGGAAAAAATCTTTGACAGTGATAGTGGTGTGGAACGGATTGCCCAGAGATGTGGTTGATGCCCTGTCCCTGGAGACTATCAGTGTGAGGCTGGTTCAGACCCTGGGCAGCCTGGTCTGTCTGTGGTGTCCATGTTCATTGCAGGGGAGTTGGGTTAGATGACCTTCAGTGATCCCTTTCAGCACTAAGGATTCTATGGTCCCATGTGTGTATGCTGTGTCAGTGTGCACACTGTACTGAAATTTCATAAATCATCACAACCAAAGTGGCTACTTCTGCTCATCCACTTTCTACCACGATCATTGCATTTTTACAATAGTAAAATAATCTGACAGTGTATACACGTGAGAACTTGGTAATGTACTGCTTTTTGGTTAAGATCCTCTGAGGTATTCCTTATTTTTGCATTGCAGATGCTTGTCCTCTCTGGTCAGTTCTTTTTTGCTTGCTTCCCACTTCCTCTTTCCTTACATAGAAGTGGGGTTGGATGTCGGATGCAACTCTGAAGCAGGTTTTTCTGTTCCATAAAGACAGCGAACTGCTTATCTAGAGCAGTAAATTCCATACTCTGCAGGACTGTTCTGCTTTGTGCAGAATTACAATACATCAGAACAACTGTGGCTCCAAATCGCTATTCTGAGAGCAACTCTTCAGTTGGAGCGTGCTGTTGGTAGAATGCTTAACATGTAACTGTGATCTTGGGCTGTATTAGGGAGGGAAGTTTTAACTTGGTGCTGTATTGGGGCTCAAGGCATCGATCGATCTGCTGGAGAGAGCGAGTTTATGAGTTAGAGATCTGATTATAGCAAACAACTCTATGAAGTGTGCAGCCTGCAGCCCAAGAGCTTTTCGAAGAAGATGCCCTCAGTTTATGGAGGGCATGCATTTGTTACAAAGTGTGGAGTCTGCTTCCCTTTGGATACAAGTGACCCTCCAGATTATTCTTAAGTCTTTTTTCTTTTTTTTTGCTCATAGAGGAAGAATGGCCTTCACCCCTCTATTTATAGGACCAGTACTTTGGTTAAAATGTTCATAATTTAAACTTACCCATAATGGTCAAGCATATCTAGGTAAATAAATGTTTCATTTGATGTATTTCTCCAAAGTTTTCCATCAAATTCAAAATCTGTGAAGATTAAAGGACATTTACTCAAATGTTGCTAAGAACCTGTTTTACAGAGTTAATAATGGAGAATGCTGTGATGAGAGTACTTTGGGGGAAAAAGAATCAGCCTTTTGAATCTTTGTGCCTTTTAGTATGTGTTAGTGTGTTCCTGAGGAATTTAATGAGGAGTTTTTTATACAGTCCAAATAACGTTGTGGGAGAGTTTGTGAATTCCATTTCTTCTTTTGATTCTTAGTATTTGCACAAGCTTTTCAAAAGAGACCACCATAAAGGACAACGATATCATGAAAAACAGATCAGTCTTTATGCTGAATATGATCGTCCAAATCTACTGCCATTTCTCAGAGACAGCACACACTGCCCACTAGAGAAGGTAAGCCCCATAACACCAGTCATGGAGTTTTACATCTCATGCTTGTAGAACTGTACATTTGTAAGTGTGTCTGGCACTGCCCTCTACTGCCGAAAGGGAGAATCCTTTGGCTTTGTGATCATTACCTGCAGAAGTGATGCACCTTCTCCTGGCTGCTAGCAAAGACCTTGCTCTTGTAGCTCAGATTGCAGGAATTTGAGGAGGCAGAAGTCCAAAATTCACACTTGATGCATGCCTGAAGCATCTTTATTCATCAGAGCCTGACCTGACTGAGGCAGTGGGTTGTGGTTGCAAGAAATAAACAATTGTTTTGAAAAATCTAAGCATAGTCAGTTCTAGATCTTGAAAAATAGTTAACTTTAATGGTATGTTTTCTGGCTTTATATTCTAAGGTTCTGAGTTGTTTTCAAGTAACTTACACAATTTAACAGTCAGTAAACTAACAGAGCCAGAAATATTTTGACTTTGTACTTCTGCTAGCAGACTGGGAATTTTGCAAAGTACTGTGTTGCCATCTTTTTTATCCTTTTTACATTTCCCCCTCCTTACTTTGTCTCATCAAATATAAAATGAACTAATGATGCTCATGTTTGTATTTTTTTTTTAATTTAACACTTCTAAATTACAGTGAACGGAATGGAAATTTGAGTTTTACTCTTCATTTGGGTCAGTATTGTATTAAACCTGATTTTGCAGTTGAGGTCTGATCTGCTCAGCCAAGCTGAAAGTTTTCCTTTCTGTATGCAGATGTAGTGATGACCCTTGTGGAATAGTTTAAATGTATTATCAAATACTGTAGTTTCTGTGGTTGACACTCTAAACAGAACCATTCATGGCACCTCTCTTATTTTGTTTGCTTTTTTCAATTGTCAGCCAACTTTCCTGTTCAATACAGGAAAACAAAACTATGTTAGGACTGCAGCCTTGGTCTTTGTTAAAATTGTCCCAGTTGTTCCAAAAACTACATGATTTCAGTGTTGGCATTGTTGGCACTGCTTTAAACTGTAAACAAGAACATGTCAGAGGCCCAGCCCACCCCTTTGCTTCATACACACTTGCATGCCAGGCACCATTTGGTCAGACTGCCCCTCTGCTGCCATCTGTTGCACCACCACAAAATATAATGGAATATTGGTGGGAGGTTCAACCCCTACTGCTGTACCACCAACATCTGCCTCTGATGTCGTGGGCCAACATAAAGAAACAGAAGGCATTACCTTTGGAGCAGCCTTTGTGCTTTTTACCATAAATACCATATAACAGTGCTTTTTGCTCCATATGTATATTTGCTCCAACAACATAAAAGGGAGAACCATAACTTCCCAGGTCCTCACTTTCTGTTAAGCTGGTTCCAGCGCTGTGTGAAAATTGAAAGAAAAAAACAATTTGAACAAACTCATACTTACTGTTGCTGTAAATAAATGATAAACAATGCAAGAAGAAGTCATTCTATTTCTCTAAAAGTAAGCCACTGCTTTCAAGTGCAGTTTAGCAAAGCTTGTGTAAAACAAACTGAAGAAAAAAATATGACTGTCCCCTCTTTTCCTCTAGAGGGAGCATGGCAGTCACTGAATGTGGAACTTCCAGAAATACTGAATGCTTGGTAATTTGTACTCTAAGTGGAGAGAAAAAAGGTTATCAACTCTGTTTGTAATATATTCATTACTCATTATTTATCCCTTCAAGCAGCCAAAGTATCTGGTTGTGAAATCACTACCCTGCCCCTGAAATTCATTGTGTATGTCTTTGGACTTTATGGTAACCCATCTATTTGAGAATAGAAGGGTTAATTCCTACCTCTGTCATCAGTTGTAGCTATATCTTATGAAGATACAGTTTTGATTTCCAGGTATGAAAATATTTATTTGGTGAACAGTTAATGCCATGGAAATTCGATGAGTCTTGAGTTTGCTTTCTGCTTCTAGGTTGTAAACAGACGTGGCATCATTTATGGCACACCCAGGCCTGCCTGATTTGCATTGCTAAGAACTTATTGGTAATCAGTTTGGTGATTCTAGTAACTGGGGTGTTTTTCAACTGTGCACAGGTTCTGTTACTGCTGAGAGCTGATGTCATGGGCAGTTATGGAATCTGTGTGTAGCTGAAAAACATCCCAGTTACTAAAATTATTTAATCTTAGAGAAAAAAGCAAAAAAAGCCATGGAATTTCTCCTTTTAATTAATGACAGAGGACCTGACAGTGCATGTTAAGGAAGCTGTATTCCTGTCAAAATGAGTAATGCAACTTCATGGAAAGGTATCCTTTAGTTTCTTGTAGCATTTGTGATCAATAGAATATCTTGTTACGTGGTTCCCTGTATTCTCTTTCTTTTGTCTTAATTCAAGGCTCTAGAGATCTGCCAACAGAGAAACTTTGTAGAAGAGACAGTTTATCTTCTGAGTAAGTAACTCTCACTGTGATAAATTACAACATGCTTTTAATCTTGTGAAGTTTATGCTGCAAAAACGTGTGATGTATTGTTTACTGTGTTTTGGCACACTTCCCAAAGACAAAGTTGGTATATCAGTAAGACCAAATAACATGGTTTGGAAAATAAAGGGGTTGATTATGCATATGATACGATTTTGAGAGAACCTCCAAGAAAAGAGTAATTCTCTCTGTTTGAGGACAGGGGAGAAATAAAACAGGTTTCACTCCGAGCACATCTCAGGAGCTTATTGTCACCTTTTGCTTAGGCAGAAGGTTTGCTAGTGCTGGTTTTTTCTTATTAAAAAAATAATTCATGTTTGAATAGTTTAAAATTAACTTCCCCACCTCTGAATGGGAGCTGTTGTATTACTGTAAGATTTGTATGTGTGTTTGTGTATTAATTATAATCAGAATGGAAAGTGTTTATTACTGATATAATCAATCCTTTTTTTTAATAAGAACATTTTGTGGACCATTTGAGAGCAGAGTAGAATTTACTCATGGATTTACTTAACAAACAGTTCAGAGCTTTTGCTTCCTCCCTCTTATTTTCCATGGATGTAAGCTGAACTATGCTTAGAGCAAGTTGAGTGTGTTGATACAGGTTCTTAACAAGAGATAAATCATCTCAAAGTTCATATGCATGCAAACATACATACACATGAACACCCTTCACCTTGTGTCAGATGTTGCTGCAGTTTAGAGTATGGCCTACCATGTCTGTAAGAATGAATCTGGGTCCCAGTCCAGCAGAGTCCTCTGTGGACATGTTCAGGTGATACTGATAGCTCTGGAATGAGCTCTCCTTTCATCAAGTTGATTGGATTAGGTTTCTAATATGGGGGAATTTATCACTTAGAAAATTCATAAGGAAAAAGCAGCAAGTGTTTCTTAAATGCTTATCAGTACTCAGTGCTTTAGGTTTTATAAACTCTTCACTTATTTTATCCTTCTAGGCAGAATGGGGAACAGCCGCAGTGCTTTGAAGATGATAATGGAAGAACTGCAAGATGTAGATAAAGCTATTGAATTTGCCAAGGAACAAGATGATGGAGAACTTTGGGAAGACCTCATTTTGTATTCTATTGACAAACCACGTAAGCAGGATAGTTTCTTAGCCTTTCCTGTGTAGTTTTTGTAGAATGGTATTGCACATAAAGGATTGAATTATCCACGTGTGCTAGCAAAGGCATTTTTGGATCACCAGGGAGATGTTGTGGTTGGTAGAGCATGCCTTATCTCCTCCTGCTGAGCATAGAAGCTTCCCATAAGGCAACATGTGGGCATGCTACAGGATGAGTACATAGAGATTTAACACTTGACAAAGCTCTGTGCAGTTATGTCCTTAATGACAAAGTAAGGACAGAATGGTACTTTTAATTTGGCACTGTATGAAGCTTTATTTTTAGGCACCCTCAGAATAAACCCCGATGTTTACTACAGCTGCTTCCCTTTAGAAACTTTGAAAATGGAGAGTCTTCACCTGTCTGCCCCTCAGTTGTTTTGTTTCTGTGTCATCAATGCAGGATCTGTAATAACGAGCATTTTTGCTCTTCATCCACAATATAAATGTCTACTCAAGTTTAAAGTTCAGATGGAATCACAAGCACAAGTCAGAAGCTCCTTAACAGCATCAGTTTTATTCGGGAGGCAAACTCAGAGGAGTTCATATGACTGGGAAAATACAGAATTATTTTAACTGCAAACTCTGCTAGTTTTGCAGTCTCTTTTGGTGCTTTAAATCAAGACTCTAAAATCTCTGTGGGGATCTCTTTTTCCAAAGGATTGAAGGTCTCATAGAATTAACATCAGAATAAATGTATTTTCATCACTTGTCCACTAATTCTAACAAGCAGCCTGAAGCCTTCGAGGACCAGCCTCCGGCTTCATCCAGGTGTTCGCAATCGTTAGGGACTCAACGGTCTGTCCATCTACCTCGGTGCACACCAATGTGGTGTATGGTAAAATGGCACTTACTGCAAGCAACACACTCTTCTTATAGTTGTCCCTTATTTCACAGTGCTACCAATCACCCTTGCTACGGTTATCTGTGCCCAATAGACATGCGGCATGTCTTGTCTTGCCATGTCTCATCATGGTTTTCTTATGAGTCAAGGAGCCCCCGCAGAGGCTGATGACTGTTACAGCCCCCCTTTCACGTATTAGCTGACCACGCAAGGGGCCCACACAGATTATGCCTGGTTACGCCTGGTGACCTTGACAGCCCCCGCTCTGCGTATTTGTTGACTACATCTCTAACTTGCGTATTTTGTTAACTACACAGCCGCAACCAAAATCTGTTACTAATTTGGAATTATGATGTTATCAAGTTATCTTACCAACAGAAATCCCTATCTAAATGTAATTCTTCACTAAAAACAATGCTACAGTTACTGACAACTTTAGAGGAAAAGGAACTCAAAGCATATACAGTTACCTCCATTCCATCTGCCGTAATGCAGAGCAACTCCAGTGGTGTTCCTTATTCTTGGGCTTTGAAGAAGAACGTTCAGAATAGTTCAGTTGGAAGGGGCCTTCAAAGATCATTGAGTCCAGCTTCCTGTTAACTTCAGTGCTGACCGAGTTAAAGCATGTTACTGAGCCCTTGAGGTCAGCTCTGTCTTATTGGAAGTTCATCCTTCTGTTTCATTTAGCCAGTTGCATTTCAGGAAGTTGGACATTAGTGTCCATCTTGTCACTGTTGAGAAACATGTTTCCTTGAAGTTAAGTGTTTGCAAATACACTTCTTAATGCTGCAATTTAGAATAGAATATTCAAACAATGAAGTGAATGTTCTACTTCTGCTTGTACAAGTGCCTTTTTATTGAATTGAAATGTGTTATTCTCTTGTGGTTTTGATGACTTGCTCTGGCTACTCTGGTATCAGTTTTCCAGATAGCCCTGGAGATTTGTAAATAGGCAAACTGTGTCTTTATCTTCCCAAAAGGCCTATTTTCAAGTAAATGCAGCTGTAAGAAAGATGTGAAGGCTATGTGAAAGTGGTTTAGTGCTCTCTCTGTAAAGAGCTGTCATAGAAACAACCAAAGCCTGTCTGCTACTGAAGCATCCTTTAAGAAGGTGGATGGATTTTTTTTCTTAATTGACTTGTTTCCTGTTTTTCACAGCTTTTATTACTGGTTTGTTGAACAATATTGGAACTCATGTTGACCCCATTCTTTTGATTCATCGTATTAAGGAAGGCATGGAGATTCCTAATCTGAGAGACTCGCTAGTGAAAATTCTTCAGGACTACAACTTGCAGGTAAATGTTGTGCTCTTCCTCTGAAGATTTTCAGAAAGACATCAAAGACCATTTCACCAGTCAGCAGCACAAGAAATGCTTGTCACCTAGGTTTGTTCATCTTGTTAGGACATCATTATCTCAGGGACTCGGGATGAAACCTTGACAGAAAGGGTAGAAATTTGTCCAGATGAATACTTTTTTTCTCTAGATAGCTTCTGCCTCTTCTGAATCTCTCCCATACTGTCATAAGCCTGGTGAGTAAGTAGAATTTTTGAAAGACTTGGATGATTTGGGTATTTTAGATTGTGACTTTCAGGATTTCTGAGAGAATAAGTATCTTGTTCCTGTATACCTCTGTTTTGTGGAAGGAGTTACCCACAACAGACAGGTGCAAGTTTGCATGTACTGCAGGTTGTAGCATTACTTGCAGGTTTTTATAGACTTCATTAGATATTACTATCTTTCCAAAATAATGCTAGTAAAATTGCGTGCATCTTTTAAGCAGTTGCGTGTTGATCTTGTTGCTGTCAGTTCCCTGCTGCTTGAACTGCTGATCCCACTGTTCCTGCATTCTGTTGAAATCAAAATGGAACACTGTGTACCTCTGCACAGAGAGTGATAAAGTGCTGTTTGCATACATGCAGCGTGTGTTAGGGGATTCAGATAAAGCTGACAAAATCACTTGGTCACATTTTGTGAACGGAAGAATCATTTTCTCTTCAGACGGCTTTTAACAAAATTACTTTTCACTGCTTACTTCTAGACCAGTATCTAAATTTTTTTTATGTGCTTATAATTGAAATGCTTCATGGATTTTAAGTTAATTCATTTTGAAGTAGGTCTGGGTAGCTCAAGGGCTAAAATTTATATCTCTGAGGAGAAGTAGGAATTAGGAAGCTTAATGGAACTTGTGCTTGGATTTTTGGCACTATAGCAAGACAACATAGCAAAAAAAAAAAAAGAAATTAAGAGGCCTACTTAAGGGACTGGTTGGTTTTTTTTTGAGAATTATGAGCTATAGCTTAAAATAAGGCTGCTCCTGAAGTGCTACACGCAATGTAAAGTGCACCATTATAAACAGATGGTGTCAGAGATGTGATGGCAGCTCTTGGGTGCACACTCACCTAAGAAGCATTAATTTGGCACGGTCAGTTTTGTTAACAGAACTGTTTCTGCGTTCAGCACATACTTCAGGAAACAGCTAGGACTTCAAGTAGATGTTTTAAGTGGCTGTTCCTAGCTGAGGGCAGTTCTGTCCTAGCTTCATCATGACTACTGTGTCATTAGCCTCTTCAGAGCTAGTCTCTGTCTGTCTGTATGATGCCTGGTCACACCTTTTCTTCACATTGTGTGGCTTTGTGGTTTGAAATCTCTGTTCTCTATTCTGGCCTGGGACAACTCCTTTCATTTTGGTAAAAACTTCCTTATTTGTATCACATAATGTACCAGACACTTCAAACTTGTACAGCAATCCAGATTTCTTTGGTTAGGACTTTGTGTGATTTCATCCCTGCAGATCACCAGCTCCGTATGTGCACAAGCCTTACTATTCCCATTTTCAAAGACAAAAAAGGAAATCTTATTTCTAGATCCACAGAGGTTGAGCATACTTATAACCCATTGCTTCACTTGCAAGTCACTGCCAAATAAGAAAACCGTGCTGATCTTTTTATAACATCAGCTCCCCCAAAAGGTATTGCACCTGCGCCTTTATATTATTTGACTGTGACCTCATTTGCAAACCTTGTTAAGATTATTTTAGTACTTACACAAGTGCAGATTTCCTACTATATTCCGAAATTTCTTTTGTGGTAAACTTTCCATGAGATGTGATTTTATGTATGTCTAAAAGCAGGTCTGCTTAGACTTTTTCTCTTTGAAACAACATTCTTAACATCCCAACAAAATCAAGTGAATTAAATTGAATGGCTGCCAAAGCATGCCATATGTAGCTTACAGTGTGTTAGTGAATCCAGCAAATAAGTCTATTAATGTAACAAAATTTGTTTTAACTTCTCTCTAATCTGACATCTTCCCTGAATAATGTAAGTTTTTATCAAAGCTGGCATGTTGTAGATTGATTACTTCGTTTCAACTTATTACCATCTCTTACATGAATGCTGCAATCATTGTATATGCTACCCTAAGCTCACCACAGCTTTAAAGTGAATAATTCACAGTTTTGTGAAGGGTGTGATTCTGTGATTAGTACATTTGCTGCCAACTAAACAAAAATGACACTAAAAGAGATATTAGGTATTCTATAAAAGTGCAGATAATGTGAGACTTATCTCTTCATGGACAATCCATTCAAATGAGTATTACTAATTTATTTCTGCATGGTTTTATAGCTGTGCTTTACAGCTGGGAATCTGTTCAGCTGCCTTATTATTCTTATAAGAATTATCTGTTTTTATTTTTTTTTATTTTCCCATTTCTGGAAATGCAGTTTTGCATGATGAGTTTTGCATTGCTGAGTACAGACTTCAGAATTTACCTGAACAGTGCAAGATGTAAGCACTCATGTGAGTGCTTTTCTGAATTGGGATTCGAACTCCAAGTGGTTATTGCCTTTTTTGGTTTTTCTTCCCTTCCTGAGAAACATTTTCTGTTCTGTTCTGTTTGGCATTATCAAAGTTAATGTATTAAAACCATAACCATCATAGCAATTTCAGTGTTTATATGCAGTAACATTCATAGACAAAGTTACGATGACATGGGCTGTAAAGATAAAGTTATAATTGTTTGCATTTTAACAATATTTATCAAGTAAGTGTAATCTAAAACTTTTTTTTATATCTATCTCCTGAAATCTAATTCTTCAGTGCCATAAATTTATAGATGAAATAGACCACGAGCTACTTCATTTGAATTTATAAAGTCCTGAAGATAAGCTTACAGTCTTAAAGAGGAACCTGCAGTTTATTAAACTGACATGTTCCTAGCATATCTTCTGTTCAACAGCAAATAAATCACCTTTCTCCAGTCAACATTTTCACTGTAACTAGTTATCATTCAAATCCATGGCAGGCTAACCAAATTGGCCTAAGTTATATTGATATACTGAGAAAAGCTTCATGGTTTTCAACTCTACTGCTTGCATTTAGAAGTGCTTTCAAAAACATGGAATCAAAACACAGCTATCTCTGTATAACTGAGAAGTTGTCAGTGTGACTTTGCAAACTGATGTTGTATTTACGTAGACAAGAGCACCTGCCAGCTCTATGACCTTTGTTTCATCCAACAGTCCTTTTAAATTCTTCAAATTACAAGTATATTTTTTTGCTGAAAGTTAGGATTCAGTTGTAATAGAATCTTTTTTGATAATCTTCTGGAGACAAACCATATTTAACTGGAGCTCCTCTACAACATCTTCTTCATTGGAAGAACAAGAAAAAAATCAGTTCTGAACCTGGGGAAGTTCCGGTACTCTTCAGCAATAGTGAAATGTTTGGCTGTGTGAGAATGTTTTCTCCTACGATGTCCAGCCTGTCTTCAGTCAGTAATGTATAAACTCCTATCATAAGACACCTCCTAACGCAGATTTTTCCATCTGATGCATGTTGTTCTTCTTCACGTTTCAGGGTGGCAGGACTGAGAACAGGTCAATGGCTGCTGTCACTCATTTAGGCTTTTTGGATACCAGCTTCATACCCTCACAGCCAAAGGCTGTGGTTGTTTGAAGACCATTCTAAAAATGCAAATAATGTGCTACTTGCTCATGTAGGCATGGAGTTTGCCTGTTTTGAGCCCCTTAAGTTAGGTGGATACAAGCAGTTTAGATTTGTTTTGCATCAGAAAATACTGTCGTTCTTAGGTAATTTATTTTACACACTGCAGATGTTGTTTCTGATACAGGTCTCTTCTGAGACTCATATGGGTCTTCTGTTCCCATTAGTGTTTTTGCAGTACAAATTTTTTAAGTATCTCTTAGCAAACAGTGTGAGGTCAGTATTGCTTTTGTTTGAAAAACATACCAAAATTAACATTTACCACGATCTCTGTGCAATGCATATATATTTTTTTCTAATGAAACTGATGCTAATTAGTTTCTTGGGGCTTTTTTAATACATCATCTCTGGACCGAAACTCATTATTTTCTCTGTAATGTGTATTTGAACTTTGTATTTGCCTTCAATATTCAGTTCCCTGGGAATTAAATTGAAAAAAAATATGAAATCTTGTGTGTTTAAGTCTCTGGTAACTGATAACTCAGTGGTCTTAACTAAGGAATCTGGTAGCATTTCTTAAAATAAACAGACATTTCTTAAAACAAATTGTATAATTACAGCCCATGTCTTCTATAGTTGTTGCATCACACTTATTTCTCACAGAGAAGGCTGATCTTAAATGTCCCTTATTTGTTTACTTCTGTGTTAGTTATGTCTGTTACATTTTCTGAATTTATGAGTCTGCCTAAGTGAAATACAAGAAATGCTGGTATAGTTGGAGATTTAAACACCTCCCTTATTTCAGAACACGCCTAATTTTTCAACCTCTTTTTGACAGTTTTCAGTAAAAGATTTCAAAAGATTTTGGTATTCTTACATTGTTCTCCCCAAATATACTCAGTGGTCTTAGAATTTAAAAGCAGTTTGGTTAGATTCAGTATCTCTAGGTTTTGTGGGTTAGCCATTTTACTCAGATGATGAGTTATTGGTTTAGACTTTGACTGAACCTGCAGTACCTCTGATGGAGGCTGTCCATCCATAATTCTCCCATTCAAAGCATTCTGCTGTGAACCAGCAGACACCAGTGGGAATGATGAATGAATGCTGGTTGAAAGTATCTGGAGGAGCTGTTAGGGTTTCCTCCTGGATGTAGATATGCAGCTGTTCAGACATCTAGGAGGCACTAGGGACAGGTGGCAGCTTGCATAGTGAGAACTCACCACTTGGTTGTAGTGACTCTTTTTCAACTCTTTGAAAGGATAGATAACAGCAGGGCAAGGGGAAATAGTTTTAAGTTCAGGGAAGGAAGATTTAGGTTGGATATCAGGGGGAAGTTCTTTACTATGAGAGTGGTGAGGTGCTGGAACAGCTGCCCAGAGGCTGTGGATGTGTTCCTGGAGGTGTTCAAGGCCAGGTTGGATGGGGCTCTGGGCATCCTGGTCTGGAATTAAATGTGGAGGTTGTTGGCCCTGCATGTGGCAGGGGATTGGAGATTCAAGATCCTTGAGGTCCCTTCCAACGCTGGCCATTCTGTGATTCTGTAACTAAACGTAACATACCTTTCACTGGGGTAATGATGCATTTTGGAGATTTTGGGGTAATTGTCCTGGAGAAACTTGGGCTTTGTTGAGTGCTGGCCCGAATGTATTCCTCGTGCTTTGAGTATAACCTTCAAATTAACTGCATACTGCAGTGTTTTCCTTTGAAGGTAGTGTTAAGCATATGCAAATCAGGACTTTATTAATTACGAAGAATGCTCCAAAAGTAATGTCTTTTTATGGCCCTGTCCCACAGCACTGGAAGCAGATGTTGGTGTGGTAGTAGAGGTTGAACCCTCCCACAAATTTTCCATTACATTTTGTTGCCATGCTACAGATGGCAGCAGAGGGACCATCTCTAGCACAGCAACAAAATGATTTCTGACTTGAAAGTGCATCTCAAACAAAGGTGTGGAATTGAATTCCTCTGTGTGGAAAAAAATTGCACCTGTAGACATTCATCAACTCTTGCTGAATATTTTTGGAGACAAAACACTGAATGACAGCACAGCAATTTGAAAGACAACCCACTTTCCAGACAGCCATGCACAGCTGCCATAACAAAAAGAAGAGCATCTCGATCAGCTAAACCACATGAATCAGCAAGATTACAACCAGGGAACTTTGTACAGAACTGAATATTGGCTGCAGCACATTAGAAACAATGGTGACAACATTGGGATACTGCAAAGTTTGCACAGGTGAATCCAACAAATGCTCACACAGGAACAGAAAGAACACCATATACAGGTTTATCAGAATGTATTGAATGAGACTTAAGGTGACAATTTTCTGGATCACATGGCGTGCAGACATGATGCCACCACTATTAGCCAGAATCAAAACTGCAGTCCACGGAGTGGTGCCATGGGGATCTCCATCAAAGAAAAAGTTCAAGATGCAGCTCTCAGCAGGTGAAGTTATGTGCACTGTCTGTAGAGATAGGAAAGGGGTGATCACTGTGGACTTTTCAGGACCTCAGACAGACCATCAGCTCTGACCACTAAACCAAGGCACTGACTGAGCTGAAGGCTCAAGCTTACAGGGTCAGGCCAGAGAAGACAGCCTTTCTCTTGCAGCATGGTAACAGCAGACCCCATCCCACTTGGAAGACCATGGAGCACCTTGCCAGTCTTGGCTGGCCTGTCCTACCACACCCACCATATAGTCTGGATTTGGCACCTTCTGACTTCCATCTGTTCAGTCTGTTGAAAGATGGACTGTGTGCAACATTTTCCTAGCAATTACACCATCATTAGCAGCTGTGGAACAGGTGAGGCCACCTCCACTGGTGCAGATTTTTAGTAGTGCAGTACTCAGGCTCTTGTTCATCACAGGCAAAAATGCATAGCTAATGGTAGTGGCTATGTTGAAAAATAGTGTTTTGTAGCTGAGAATTTATCAAATGGTGTTACTGTGCTCATTGTATCTCTTGTAGTTTCCGTGGAAATGAATGGGAGGCATTACTTTTGGAGCGACCTACATGAATAACAGTTTCCATTGCTGGTGATTTTAACTATGCAGCTGCACCTTTTCTACTGTAGTCAAAGAATGAACTCCAGTTCTTCTTTTTTTTTTTTTTTTTTTTTTTTTTTTCAATAAATATTTTGGTTGCAGACATATCCATTAGTTTGGTGAAGCACCAGATCCATTTAAAACTTCTTTCTCATAACTTACCATGGTGTCTTGATTGCATTTACAGCACTTTTTAAAGGGTAAAAAAATTGTTTTGTAAGACTTTTTGTTTCTTACTGCATCTCTTTAGAGAATGGCTTCATTACAGTTTTACATCTGATGTCAAGTTTAGTCTAATCTTCAGGCACAGATAAATGCTTCTCCCTGCTTTTAATACAGAGAAGTTCATTCAAGCACACTTTCTCCCTGTCTCATTTCCAAAATCCCTCTCTTCTCTTTCTACAGTTCTTATATTGTCCATCTCTTCCTTGAGCTCTTCAAATGTGTTTCTACAGAAGTGCTGATTTATTGCCTAGGCATTTTATCTTTCACCTCCATCATTCCAAGTTCCTTCTACATTATGGTGGCTGCACCTTGTATTCCACTTGTAATAAAAATAAAGTCTGACGATCAGTCATTAAATGTTGTGTGCAAAATCTTAGTGGAGTTTAACTGTCACAGAGAAGGTGCTGCATATGCCTTGTAACATGTTTCTGTTTCTTCTGTGTTGTTTTTAAAGGATCAAGTAGTGTTCAGGTTTTCATGAGACATAATTGATGTTTTGGTATTTTTTTGTTTCAATCTTTTTTTGTAACTGAAGTTTTCCTATTGCCACTCTGTATTTAAAGTAGAAAGCAGTGAATGATTGTATCTCTATTCCACCATTTGCAATGTTTTCTTTGTTCCTTTTTCTTAAACATGCAATTTTTTATCTGCTTGTGCTGAGTGCAGTTAGCAAAAACTCCAGTAGATAGCCAAAGAAGACCGTGTCCATTTTGCATTAGTTACCTATCTTTGCCAGAGTTTGCTGCTTGAGAATATTCCACATTGGTCAGAGCACTCATCCTGAAAGATGGTCTTATCCAGTTGCTGCTGTAAAAAATTTCTAAGTATTTCTTTATTAATCTAGTGATGTTTTCCTTTACTTAACATAAAATTTGCCTTTCTGTGTTGCCCTTGGGCAAATTTGGAAGGGGAAGAGCATATTCAGATAGCTGCTGAGATTATCACACATAAAATTGATTAATTCTCTAAGTGTTTGGTTTGCATTCAGCTTCTTGTGCTCAGAAGTGTTTTGTAGCTTGCTGTGTCCAGTGCTGGAGAATACCATTCACCCACTGGCATGCCCAGTTTAAAATGTTTAATGTTAATCAATTTTTTTTTATTATTCATGTATTTCAGATACACAGTCTTAATTGCATAATGACTCTGGCAGCATGTCATGTTTAGTTCACAGTGGTATTTACAAAGATGAGGTTTTGGATAGTGTTCACCTGGCTGTAAAACCTACTGTTATACTTCTTTTTAGAGACTTGCATTGGCAGCATCCTGGTCTGGTTTAGTGCTCATTACCTCCTGCAGTGCAAATAATCTGGAGAAACAAATAGACATTGCCTTCTTGTAACACTTCCCTTGGTTTGTTTGTTTGTTCAGCTTAAAACTGATTATGAATCTCTCTTTCTCAGAAGACTTTTCAGAAGAATTCTGGTCTTGGAAAGCAAATTTCCAAGCATTGGTTGAATGTGGGGTGGGAGCAAGAAAACTGACAACCCTTTGTTTGGGTTTGTCATATCGTCATGAACCTTCTTCACTAAGCATTGGGAAATAGTACTGTATGCAATTTTGATGCCAGAGATCTCTCTCTTTTTGTGTGTCACAACACTGGCAGACAATAAGAATCTGACATAAAATACTACAGTTAAAAAAGCACTCTTAAGAGTTTTTGCTAAGGATGAACAAGGTCTAACCTTTGATTAGTTGCGTGAGCTTTTAAGTGTGGCTTGCTGAATGGCATCTGAGCAGGAAATGCATGAACAAAATAAATTTTAAATTGTTGGGTTTTGAAGGTTTTAGGATGACCATATCTATTTCCTGACATAGACAGGGAAGATATGAATGGAGGAAGTTTCCAAGTGGTTTAGAATCCAATTGTTAGGGGCAGTGTAAAGAAATACCTCCATTGTATTCTGTTAAGAGAAGCTTATGGGAAGATGATCTTTATTTATGACAATAACATATTTGCAAAGGATTTGATTTTTCTGAGGTCTTTCATTTTTTTTTAATAGTTTTTTTCCATTTCAGTAGAGATTCCTTCCCTCCTATCCTTTTTTTCCCTTGCTGTTTGAAGGTCTGATATCTTGGAAAGGCTTAAACATTTGTTGTTCTCTTTGTAGCAGCAGAAACCCAGAGGTGGCTTGCTGGGATGATGGTTATGCCCACCCATTTAACAACTGCTGTACTTTGTGCTCTTTGCAAAACAGATCTTGCTGCGGGAAGGTTGCAAGAAGATTCTTGTTGCTGATTCTCTTTCTTTGCTGAAGAAAATGCACCGAACTCAGATGAAGGGCGTTCTGGTAGATGGTGGGTACAGCAGAAACGTGGTGACTTGAAGTCTTTTCTGTTGCTATAGACCTAAGCCATGTGACAGTCCATTTTGAAAGCTGCTAGAAAACCTGAGTATTACTTCTTCTTTGTAGAGTGTAAATCTTATTTGTAGAGATGAGATCCGTCATGTAGCTTTTTGTTTGTTCAATCTCTGCATTGCTGGCAATATGTTGCATGTTTGTCTGTAAAGGTGGAAAATGCTTTTCAGTGCCAAAACAGGTAGTCAGGTAATAACATCCTGCAACAAGGTAGTTTCTAAAAATGGTTGAAAATATTTTGTGCAGCTCTGCTGATGTGCATGAGCAGTTCTGTGATTTATGCAAGATGTGTGTTTATACCAGGAGTGATGGAAAGGCAGAAGATCAGAGCTTCTGCTGGAAAAATACAGCAGAGAAGTCAGGAACCCGTGTTATGCTGCTTTTTTTATTTGAGCTTGCCTTATGCCTCTACTGCTCTGATATTGATATAGCTCCTGCTTCTTCCTGCACAAAAATCAGAGAATCTGTGATGAGTATCTTAAGTAAATACTCTAAGATCGAGATCAATTTCTGTGATTGCAATGTGTAAATACCTGTTTTATTTAAAAAATAAAACAAACATGGAGGTTGTTAACAAAATGTTAGAGATTTATTTCCTTTTTTTTTCTTTTTCCAGAGGAAAATATCTGTGAATCATGCCTGTCTCCAATACTTCCTGCAGGTAGGATGCTTTTCTGGAAGAAAAAGAGGCTATTTTTTGTTTTTAAAGGAACTACAGTTTGCTGCTATTCATAGAAATGTGTAATACTCTCCCTTGATAATCGCTGTATAAATTTTGGTCTCCTGTGCAAAGCTTGCTTATGAATTCTGATTTGGGAATGGAGACTACTCTGAACCTTTCAACTTACTTTCTTCTTTACTCGTGTGATTTTTTTTACTTCCTGCTTTGAAATTGTAGAACAGCTTTAATCAGTCAACAAGCATATTCTCAGAGATTATCAGAATCGTGGAACAAAACAGATCCCATCGAATTTTGTTTAAATTTGTCCTGTGGTTTAGACTGAACTTGCAGACTATAAACTTGCATGTGGTATACTTCTTACAACACTTCAAAACATTTCAGAAGTTGGTCTTGAAACTAGAAATTCAGTATCTCATTTTTGAAGGTGTACATTCTGCAAAGGAACTAATTTCAGGAATGTCAATATAGGTGCTAGGCATCTTAAGAAATAGTAGTTTGACCAGGCAAGTGTCTGTCCCAGCATCCTCAAACAAGAAAATGTAAGACAAACTATCTGGATGCAACTATTCTTTGTTTGCATAGCTGAATAAAATCTTTTCCAGTTATTTAATCTTGTTTCTACCATCTTTTGCTTAAAAAAAGGAAAAAAATAATACATACAGTTGTACTGTGATTGCATGCACCAACATACAGACCAGAACAGACACCTGGTGCTAGAAGACCTGACAGAGTTGGACATGCAAGCGCCCTGAGAGATGGGTGTATCTGATAAGTGAGGTGAAAGTTCTTTGAATGTATGAATACTGTATGGAGGTTTCTAATTGGGCTAAATATTCATGAATCAAGAAGCACTTACACAGCTTATTGCCACATTTAGAGCTTATGTCCTGAGAGCATAGACTCTAGTAATACTCAATATTTTGGTTCTTCCTTCACTAATGCAAGAGTGGTTTTTGTTCGTGTTTCTTCAAAATGGCTGAATTCTTTGGGGGTAGATTATCCTTTGCCCTCCCTAGATTTAACATGTGGCACATATTAACCTGAAAAATTCAGTTGAAAATGTGTACATCGTTTAATAAAATCATAATGAATAAAAATCAGAATAAAATCATTATGTAACTTCACCACTAGGACACACTACCTGATAGCATCATCCTGCATCATTTCTATAAATACAACAGAATAACTTGTAAAATTAATGTGATAAAGGTGTGACTTGATGTTTGTGTGTGTGTAATCAAACAGGGCTATGACTGTAGCCCCCAAATCCTTTGTTCCATTGCCCTTTTGTAACGGATTTACCTTTCTCTTTCCCAGATGCATCCAAGTCCTTCAACGTGGTGGTGTTCCACTGCAGACACATGTTTCACAAAGAATGTCTCCCAGTATCTAACACAGTAAGGAACCAATCTTAATCTCTGTCACTTCTGCCAAAGACAAGAAGACAATTTCTTTATCTCATCTTTGGGGAAGGGCATGGTTCTATCAGGGATTATTTTGTGATTGCAGTTATTATTTTTGATGGCACTTTGTAATAGTATATGACTAGGGAAAGGATATTTCAGACTGCTGCAAGCAAAATGTATCCAGTTTAGAAAGAAATTGCTGCTGTTTGAGATGTTTTATAACCTTCTTCAGTCTAAATTTTCAATATATGATGCAACTTTGAATAGTGCAGGGAATATGACCCATTTGAATTTCCTTAATTCTGCCCTTTGACTCCAGAACAACCTGCTTTATTCTATTCAGCATTGTCACATTCCTAAACCTATCCTTGACTTCGTCAATAGGCAGCAGCCTGAATGTGAATAGTAACACTGGGATGAACAGTAGCAATTTTCACTCATCTTCTCATGATGAATTGATTATATTTGTCTGAGACACTTGTCTTCTTTTTAATTTCCAGGTATCTTCTGTCCAGTTCTGCAACATATGCAGTGCCAAACACAGAGGACCAGGAAGTGCAATCCTGGAGATGAAGAAATAGCAGCCCCCTAGCTCTCCATACCCGTCTGTGACACCAAGTCTGTTAGGAGCCACTGTAGTTTCTGTTAGTCATCATTTCTGTAAATAATTCTGAATGTGATTTAAAACTGATTTCTATAAGTTATCCTGCTTAGTGGATTTCCCTTCTGGAAAGGGAAAACGTGAAAACCTTTGCTTAGTAGCGCTTTGTTACACAATTCATATTTCGCTGTTCCTGTGCTCAGCTTATTCTTTACTTAACTGTGGAACTGAGAAGGAAAATAAAAAGACAGGAAACAATCTGAAGATGTAAGTGTTTCACAGATTGGCAACGTATCATGGTTGTGTAAAGAAAAACTAATGAATTTGAATTCTTACTAGCAAACTTGAGATCCATGAGGAATCTGACTTCTTGACGTGGGATTACTTGAGCATTTGAAGGTGCTGGTGTTCTGCATTACATATTAGATTGACAAACTTGTTAAATTTTGATTCCATTCTTCTGGATCGTACCTCACTTGTGTGGCTACACATTCACAGTTTGTTAGAAAATGGTCACTCTCTCAGTCTTCACAGTGCAGCTAGGTTTGTGCCATGTTGAACCCATGCAGAGACTTTAAAGTGTTAGCAGCAGACCTAAATACTTATAAAATAAGTGTAGTAGTGTTGTTTGGCTTCACAGAAAAAAATCTGGCCTTTCAGAAATGAGGCCTTGAAGATTTTCTTTTGTTCTCAGGAACTCAAAAGAGTTAAGTAAAATAAGTCTCTTTGGATGTTAACAAAAACACCTTTATTTTTAATTTCAACATCCAAAGCTGATCTTTCAGAAAACATCATCGGAAAGTGTGGTCTCTTCAAAATGTTCCCTGATTAAATTAAATAGATACAGGCAACCCTTTGAAAAGTTACTTTTCAAAACTGCAAATGCAATTTTTTAGTCTCTGTGGAAATACATTATGTCACCATTGGGTTATGATGTTTGAACAAGTAGTTAAAATCCATTTGGATGTGGTGCTCAGGGACATGATTTAGCAGAAGGTTGTTAGAGTTAAGGCAGTGTGGTTGGGTTATGGTTGGACTTGATCTTTAAGATCCTTTCCAACCTGAGCAATTGTATGATTCTATGTTTTAAGTTTTGACATAATGCCATATTAATACAGAACTGTAAAACTGGAACACCTCTTAAGTTCTTCTTTACCTTACTTTGATGTAGATACACTTTAAAATAACACATATTATAAAAAGCTGGATTTCCAATTTATGTTAATTCATGATACTCTTGATATCCCCCAGGCTGCTGACTGAGCTGCTCTCCTAATCCGATATGTGCTTTTGTTGTCCATGTGTCTACCCACCCAAATTTAGGTGCATTAGCAATGCTATGATCTACTTCATATGGTTACAGAATAGATCTCTTTAAAAATAGCAGTAATACTCTGTCACAAAAATACAGTTATCTCTGGGGGGGAAAAATGGTGCAGACTATTTGTGAACATGCAGTAGATGAAATTTTTGGCCAAAGAAGGGCAGCAAAGCTTGTGAAGGGCTTGGAGAATATGCCTTATGAGGGGAGACTGGAGGAACTGGGGCTGTTCAGTCTGGGGAAGTGGAGGCTGAGAGGAGACCTTACTGCTCTCTTCCAGTATCTGAAAGGTGATTGCAGCAGAGCGGGGCTGGTCTCTTCTCACTGGTGACAGGATGAGGGGAAATGGCCTCAAGTTGCACCAGTTTAGGTTGGAAATCAGGAAAAACTTCTTTACAGAAAGGGCTGTTAAGCACTGGAATAGGCTCCCCAGGAAGGTGGTTGAGTCACCATCCCTGGATGTGTTTAAAATCTGTTTGGATGTGGTGCTCAGGGACGTGATTTAGCAGAGGGCTGTTAGAGTTAGAGCAATGTGGTTGGGTTGTGGTTGGACTTGATCTTTAAGGTCTTTTCCAACCTGAGTGATTCTATGATGCTAAGTAACAGAACATTGTGAACTTTGTAGCACAGAGCATCATCTTCATACATCAAAGCCCCCATAAGAATTACTGCCTGGATCTGTAGCAGTTCATTTTCAATGGCTAGTACACATTTTCAGTATATTGTTCTCTTATCCCTTCTTTGTTGCACCGATTAGAGAAGTTGCTTTGATTCCCTGTGAATGAAATGCTGCAGTAAGCTCAAGGGTTGTTTCATCATGAATTTTGAGCTCTTGCATGTCAGAAGAGAAATTTAAAAACTTTTAAAATCATTTTGTCAGTAACTCTAAACAGCTTTTCTATGTCATAGCCTAAAAATTGTCTGTGCAATGCCATTTGCTGTCAGCTTGCAGGAGGAGAAAAGTCAAATTGCTCTTACACTGTAATGCCACAAGGTGTTCTGTGGCTCACTTGTGTGACAATTTACAGCAAGTATGTTGTTTACTTCAGCTTGACCTTAAATTCCCTAAGGCATTCGTGTGTTCAGTGGCTCAGTTTGCTAGTTTGCCATCGCTGGCAATCACGTTGCATTTATACCTTGGCATATTCTTGGCATTATGCAGGTAATTTTAAATCACTTTATGAAAACCTAATCAAAATCTCCTCTAAATCCAAAGCTTCTTTCATTTGGGCTTCAGGGACAACCCTTTTCATGTTCTCAAATTCCGAATCTGCTTATTAAGATTCAGCAAGAGGCTCACGGTCCTGGCTTTGATTCCCTTTTCTTCCTCAGAAGCCTTCACATCACAGAAAGTCTGGGGTTGGAGTCTAAAATATTCAGTCACCCAAGAGCTTTTCTTCTGGAGAAGAGTTCAGCCTAAAAAGTAACCTCGAAGTTGCATAACCCTGCAGGAAAGCGTGATACTTAGCCAGCCTCACCAGAGCTCATTGAAGATGTTAATTTGTGGGGTGAGGACAGGGTGGATGTTCTCGTGGTAGCTTTTCTGTTTGGGGTTTTCTTGGATGCTCTTTTTATGGCCGATAGACATGTCTGAAGGGGCTGGGAAAACCTCTGCAGATCTTTCTGAGGTCACTGAAGTTGAGAAGTGCGTGATGGGCTTCTGCATCTCCTACAGCTGTGTTTGCAGGTTAGTACTTGCGCCTCAGTGGGCTCAGCTCTTTCACCTGAGCATTGATGTACTGGAATCAGCTGTGTGTGGTGAGTGGGCAAGAATCTGCTGTTCCTTGTTACAAGCGCTGGTGAGTCAGTTTATGCTTCAAGGAGCCATGCTGTGTCCCAAGTGCATCTGTCAGGTGCTGACGTCTGGGAAACCTCAGGCAGGGGGTCTCCAGTGGCTGAACAGAATAAGTTGTCAGCTCTCTAACATGCTTAGCCCTTGGGTGTGCTGGGGAGCTCAGCATCTTACACAAGTTTTGTCATCACATTTAGTAGCAGCAGGGTTTCAGTGCTTGGCTTGGATGATGCTTGGCTGTAGAGCAGCAGCAGCAGGACGGGTTTCTGCAGCTATTTTGCAGCAACATTGCTGGTATCACATCAAAAACTGCTAGTTCAGTAGCTGCCAGCTCTGACCTCTATAAACTTCCATTCCACAATAAGAATGAAGGTATGTTTGACCTTTGGGTAACTCTGCTAATTGTATGCCTTAGGTAAACCCTTCAGACTTTAACCTTATGCACAGCTCCTGTCACTGTACAAGAAGGAAGTCATGTTCTGTTCTTTTGGGCCACAGCAGTGAAAGAACAAACGTTGGACTGGTTATTCTGTACTGCTGAAGGCAGTGGCTAAAACTGCCAGGACACAGGAATGGAGGAGCGATCTTGTGTTACAGAGCTGTTGGTGCCTTTTTAGATCCACATCATGTTTCTGTTTGAAATACGTGTTTTCATGGGCAGTTCCTGCCACTGGCTTGACTGCAGATGTGTCAAGGGTTACCCTAATGCAGAAAACAAGAAGTACTTCTTGTCTGCTATGTTTGGCAACCAGTGATTTTAGTAGGAGACTATGCTGCACCTTTTCCTATGGATATTGCTCTGAAAGTAATGCCTCCTACTTCTTTCTGTGGAAACTGCAACAGGTACAAACAGTGCAGTAAGGCTGTTTGATAGAGCAGATTCTCATCTGCTAAACACTGTTTTTCAGCATAGTCACCACTATTAGCTGAGTGTTTTTGCCAGCAGTGAACAGGAGCCTGCATGCCATGCTTGTAGAAATTTGCACTAGTGAAGGTGACCTGCTGTCACCACTGCTGAAACGCACCACCCACAGCCTCACTGTGCTCACATCCACTCTTTGGTCTGCATAAATGTTTGGCAAGTGTCAGTGAATATCAGTGGGTGGGTGCCATTTTTCCCCTCTCGTGATCTTTTGTATGCTTTGACTTCAGATCCTTGCAGCTTTTACCCATATTTACTGGAGACAGCATCATTATGTCTTCCTCTCCAGAACTCCTCCCTCAAGCAGACCTTTGCCAAACTCTAGCTCTGAGGCAATTGCTGCATTGTTGGAACAATTTAAATAAAACTCAGAAAGCACCAAATCTAGAGAATTACTTGTCAATTATATACTTTGGGGACTGACTTTTTACTCCGTGCCATGAAATATTTATTTTCTCTCAGCATTAGAGAAATCCCCAGGTGATGCTTTTTCTGTTCTTCAAGACAATGCATGCTTTCTTTTACTATAATCAGACATTAAATTATGCTGAAAAGAGGACATCTGAGGTGTCTTGAGATATCAAACGCCCAGGAAAACAGGGTGTGTGAGAAGCTCTAAAATAACTCAAACTGAGTCTTAAATGAACCTTTTGCAGTGGAGCAGGTCTTACTTGGGAGCCGTTCCGTGTTCAGTCTGCAGCTTTCCTACAAAAGCATTTGCAGTCTGAATGGACAGAGCTGCCAGCAGGAGCTGCAGCAGCTCAAGTCTGCCAGGAGAGCTGGGCTCTGCTGTGGCCAGGACAAGCTGGCAGAGAGAGAGATGCAGCAGATTAATTCAGGGTTAGGAAGCAGCAGGAGCTGCAGAGGGCTGTTAATCTGTTCTTCTTCCCCTTTGGTTTTAGTGTTGTCCTGGTAGGACTTAAGTCCAGTGAGGCTGACAAAGTGATGGTGTGTGATGGCTGCAAAGTTGCTTTTAACAAGGTTTTAGCTGGATGGCATGTTCCAAATATGGTTCATACAAGATGCAGGTTTCTCTATTTCTCTGTTTCTGGTCGCAGGAGGGATGAGGCACCCAAAAACAGCTCTGGGGAAATGTTTTCAAAAAATGAGCAACCACCCACACATACCACGTATATGTGTACACAGTAAAGTAGTAGTGCTGAAAGGTGGAGGTGGCAATAATGTTTTACTCAGCAGGATCTGTTCAATAGCAGCTCTTTGCA